GAGCCAGTGGTACGCTGCGTATGCGGGCGCTTCCAATGCGTCTGGTGGCGCAAGCGGGGCTCGGCCCGCGCCGCCCCAGTTGGATTGATGGCAAGCGGCAGCTCCAGCAGCGGGTTGCGACCGTACTTGAACTTGTAGTCTGACAATGTTTCGATTCCGGGCAGACTTTCAAGCACGCGAACGATGGCCGGCTCGGTGAGACCGAACAGGTCTTCGCCCGAAATGAACTGCGGGAACATCTGCAGGCATCGGCCTTCTCGGCGCAGGGCAGATATACGGTCAAGGATGGGGCTCCAAGCCGCCTTGGGCGAATGTTCGCGAAATTCGACATCTTCCTCGCCGAATTCCTGCACTAAAACGCGAAATTCCGGCCGTCCACCCGCGTCTTGGATTGAGCAGATGTAGCGGCAGCGTTTGCTCAGGTACCGCATGCTCCAGTAGAACCGGATTATCTTGTAGCCTGCCAACAGTGGCGATTAGTCGAATTAGGCCCTAACGATTTAGGCAAATGCCCCATCTTTCCGTTTGTACGATCAACGATGTTACCGAAGAATCGCTGGTAATTTATTGTTCAAGTTTTAAGCTTTCACAACAAAATAGGATTCTCAAAGTGCTTCTGATTTCATTATTACGGCTTTGGATTGGGCAAAACAGGGAAAGTTAAGACACATCCTGAGTGGCAGCCGAGAATCCCACAACCGCAAACCTGCCATTATACAGTTTTTCAGGAGTTTTTCTCTGCACAGAAAGCACATGTTCGCGAACACCCATTTTTTTTATAGTCGGCAAAAATATGAGGAAGCCTTTAGGACTGGTTGAATGGATGAAATTTTTACAACAACAAATTGAAAACACTTTTCTAATTTACCGAAATTAAAAACGGGAGACGACTTGGGAGAATCAGCAGAACTTTTAGACCCGATTCTGGGTTTGGTGTTGACTGCAAACATTTCAAGTCGCTACTTGCCTTAAATTTTTGCATCTGCGCGCAAACGCCCATTTTTTGTATCAATGTTTTCAAGTTCGCAAAAATTAAGACGAGATGATTTTTAGGATAAACTTTAGTTAAAGTCCGTAAAAATTAGAACTTCAAGCCACTTGAGTGTAGGCCTGGGTCACACTGTGTTGATTTGTTGCCGCCCTCTGAGTTGCCCAGTTATAACTCATCGGTTGATGAGTTATAATTCATTTATTAAAACTTTCCGAGACCCGAGACTGGAACTTTCACATCTAAAAAAAATTCATCAACATTTTTCCTGATTAATGTTTTACTACTTTATTCAAACAACTAAAAAAAGTCATGTAGATTTTCCCAGCAACAGAACTAAGTCCAAAGAAAGTCGACGAGTTTTCTTGAAAAATCGATCTCTTAATTTTTTTGCATAAAAGATTGCCAGTATTTTACAGTAAAATAATATATTTTCTTGAGCAGCAGACTGCTTATGTTAATCTATAGAGCATTGGTTGAGTCCATCTTGCAATACGCTATAGTTGTGTGGGGTTGTCTGTATAGCAATGCCCTTGAACCACTCAATGTGGTGCAAAATTACTTATTAAAGACTATGTTTAAGAAAGAGAGATGCTTTACAACTGACCTACTTTATAGCGAAACTATACTGAACCTTAGAATGTTATATTTCTATAACATGTGTCTCTTCTTGTACAAGAATGAAAAATTTCAAATAAAACTTGAGCACCCGCACAAAACCAGACAGGTGTCGAACCAGAGTTTGGTTGTTCCTTTCTACAGAAGGGATGGCAATCAAAGTTTAGGTCCAAAAATATACAATTCTCATCCACTTAGCATAAAAACTAACTCAAACTATAAAATGTTCGCCAAAAAATGTAAGCCAATTATATACAACAATTATAGGACATATCTTAATTTGCTCTAATTTCTCAACATTTTATCATAAATAATTTTGCTTCCTTTATATAAACTAAAAATAAAAAAAGAATAAAAAAAATAAAGTATTATCTCTTTTTTTCCATATTTTTTGCGCATACAGGTTGTGTGTGACCTAGGTGCAACATATAATTTACTTAGCCTAAGAACTGAATATATGATTGATTTATTGAGTGGCTGTACAATTGACTGTTGAATAAAATTGAATAATTATTCGGAAAACTCGTCACTTTTGTCGCTGTAAATCATTTGGTTTATTTAAATTCCGGTTTCTTCACTTTTAGGTCAATATTTCTAAACAAAACCCTCTCTATACAGAACAACGCGTTTTTTCCTAACGTTTTACTGTAAAATACTGGCAAACTGAGTGTTTTATGCAAAAAAGTTAAAAGATGGATTTTACAAGAAAAGTAGTCGTCTTTTCAGTTTGGTCTTCTTTATCGTCTTTTTCGAATACCCGTTTCACCCTTGAATTTGGGACAAAAGCGAGACAAAGTTATCTTGTTTCTTTTTCGACAACATTTAGGTTTTATCAAAAAACGACCAGGCGAAGCAAAAGCATATAATCAATATTTGGAAAACTCATCATCATCATCGCTCTCACTTTTTTTAAGTTTCTTCAAATCTCCGGATTTTCTCGTTTTGGACCAAATAGTTTCGAGCAATCGTATGCGTAAAAGCAATATGTTGATGGCTTTTTTTTTGTTAGATGCTAAAATTCCGCCATCGGCCATGAGTTATAACTCATTAACCAATGAGATAAAACTCATTAACTCAAAAGCGCAACTCAACACAGTGTTAGCCCGGCCTAACGTGCTGGCGCATTTCTGTTTGAAGCGTTATTTGGTGCAATTCTTTTTCAATTCGGGCATGTTTTCAGTTTCAACAGTGTTGTCAACAAAATCACGTTTTTTTGTGTATTCTAAGAATAGACTTCGTTTAAATTCTCCGCCCAATAGAAACAGTTTGATATCATTGTACAAACGGATACATGGAGCAAATGCGGAACCAGCGCTTACCTATGGGGTAGATGTGATTGGGCGTGTGGAAGTTCTGCAGCTGGTGCGGCATCAGCTGCCCCACATTCAGGAAGATCAAACTGCCCACCCGCAGCAGATTGTTGGTGTCCGAATGGTGCATAACAGCGGCCACCTGCCGGTTTTCGTCGCGATTCACATAGACGCGCCTGCCCACACTCAATGTGGTCAACTCATTGTCTTTCTCGTTCTTGGGCACGTGCGCCGCGCAATAGGCGGTCTTGTTCTTGAAGAAAACGCAGCCGTCGCGCACGGCGCATGCCAAATGGTACACGTTGGAGCAGCGCGCCTTAAAGCAGCGGATCGTGGCGCCCACCTTGGCGCAGTGGGCGCACGCAGTGCTCAGACTCTGTTGCATGGCGTTTTCCAGATTCATCAGCGCCCCATTCACGGTTTCATAGACCCCGTCGGACCAGAGGGCGCAGTTCAAATGCACCCACTTGTCCACATCGACGTTCAAAAGCCGCGCCGGCCCATCGGCCACGCCATCGCCAACCACTGCAACAACAACCGCACAGTTGGTTGCCAAATTTACGTTTTTTCTAGTTTTAGCTACTACCTTGACAGAACATGCATTTGCGCGTGTCGTCGGGCATCTTGGGCGGCGTCACTGTAATCCCCATCTGATAGAGCATCTCCATCATTTCCTTGTCGGTGGGCTTCTTGTGCTTCTGACTGGGCTGGATACACCCGGGGAACCACAGCTTGTAGACGGTGTTGCGGTGGGCGCGAGATTGAGCCGCCAGCCCGAATCTGGCCTGCTTGAACATCGAGCCGAAGTGGGCGCCGAAGGCGCCCCGCGGCTCCTCGCTCTGTTTGAGAGCGGGCTCCGCCTTGCGCCCCCTCTGCGACAGATGGTCAATAAGGGCGGCCGCCTGTACAACAAAAACCTCAATTCCCAGCACCACTCGCCGTTCCAGCACCTACCTTCTCCTCGGGAATCGAGGGCGACCGATTCATCAGCGCAAACTGCATGTAACAGGGCGTGCCGCAGAAATACAATTCCTCGCCTTCGAGCTCTTTGTCCAAGAAGGGCAGGTCGGAGACCCGCTTCCGTATCAGGTTGTTCAGGATGACAACGTCGCAATGCTTGCAAAACTTGGCCGCCCCATTGAGGATGCTCTGGATGTCTATGGGAGCTAAAAAACCCCGATTAATCCCAGTTGGGTGCGTAAACCCGGCAACTTACCGCCCTCTTTGCCGTCCTTGCCCTTCGTCCGGTACATGCCCAGCTTCTGGGGGGCGGACGACGTAGTCCTGTCCACTATCTGATAAGTGGTGGGCGGCGGAATCTGCAAAATATTTGCCAAATCCCGCAGGACGCCCACGATGTCTTCGGCGGCCGAAGAGGTGAGTGTTAGCGTCACTTTGATGTTCTCGCTGTCCTTGGTCGGTTCTGGGGGCGTCGCTCGGGGCTTCTCGTGCTCCAGGTCACGATCAAGGCACAACCCGCTTGGTTTCAGTCGGATGGCGATCGGCTTCAGAAGCCGCGTGAGCGGCGATTGCCGCCCCTTGACTGGCTCCTCTTCGTCGTCGCTGATAAGACGCAACCCGTCGCAATTCTCGCTATCGGACGAGGAGCCGCTCACTATTGAATCGGGGGTGTCCTCGCGTGCAAACATGTCAAAGAACTTGCTGTCGTCGTCGCCGTCGAATTTAATCATCGGAAATTCTTGCTCGTAGAAGCCGCGCTGCGTGGTTTGCGCCGGTTTGGTCGGAAGGGCGACTTCCACGCCGTATGGTTCAGTCGAGTAAAAGTCCGAGCATTCGGGCGGCACCGCACAGCCGTAGCAGCCAATCAGGTCGCCTTTTCGCGGATCAAAGTGTTTCGTGCCGATCTTCGAGAGGTCGCCCGCTCCAAACACCGGCACGACTCCGTAGTTGCGCATCAGCACCGGTTCCGACACCACCATGGGCGGCAACTGACGTATTTGATTGAGCATGTTGTCAATATATGAGTCGTAGTCCTCGTCCAATTTCGAGTTCTTCCTTGGGCGCTTGCTTGGTTTGTTCTGCTCCTTGTTGAGCATCTGGTTCTGGCGCCGCTTCTGGTTGTACATTCGGCGCTTCTGCTTCTTCAGCTCTTCCTTGTCCAGTGCCGGCTTCTCCACATTGCTCTCGCCCACGTCGCCCTCCTCTTTGATGGGCAGGTCGCCCTTGCCCTGATCGGACACCTCGGAGTGTTGCGACGTTTCGTCCAGCAGCTCCTTTTTGATTTCGATGGGCGGCTCCTTCTTGACTGGCAGGGGCGGTGTTTGCAGGCTGGAGTCCGGCGTGGGTGGCGATAGGAGTTCTTCGCGCGCCGCCACTGTGGGTTTTTTCACATCAACGTGCAGCTGCTGAACCACCGGACTGGACACGAACGAGGTTTCTCGGATGAGGCTGCGTGGCTTGGGAGGCGGCGCAGGGGGCGGAGCCTCGCTCTTCGCAGGCGGCAGCAGCGACGCCAGGGTGGGCGGGCTGGCCTTGGGCTGCTCCGCCACTGAACTAGGGGGTGGCGACTGCGTGCTAGCGCACGCAGTGTTCTGCAGCAGCTTTTTGAGCAGGACGTTTTGCGAGTCCTGTTCAGGCTCCTCCTTTATGTCCTTGATGTCGTCCAGCGACTTGGTGCGCGCCTTGGTAAGTTGGGTGTGCAACAGATTGCCGCGGAATGGAGACGCCGCTATCACAGAGATGGCATTGGGTTGAGCTTGTGCAAGCGCCGGCGAAAAACTAGTGCGCGACAAGCTGACAGGTGTCGCCAGTAGACTGGCCGCTGTGATCGTGTCCGCTGACGTCTTGGTGGTGGGCGTGGCCGCTGGCTGATTCTGCAACATGGCGGTCAACGTCAACGACCCTTTGCTGCTGGTACTGGTGGAGACTTGCGGCTTCTGGATGACGCGTGACGCCACCACATTGACCGGCTTGGCCTCCACGTGGGCGCTTTGCGACGTTGCCGTCGTTTGCAGGGTGGACAACAACGTGCGCAGCTGCTGCGACGCACTTGCCATATTAGACGTGAGCTCAGCCGGCTGCGACAGTGGGCTCAATTGCGGCATGGCCTGCTTGGGCGGCGACGCCTCCGGCTTGGGAGTGGGAGTGGGCGCGGGCGCCTTCTGCTGCTCGTCCGAGTGCTGCATGTTCTCGATCATGTCGAGTACGTCCTCAAAGGACTCGAACTCGCGCCTGCGATTGTCCTCCAAGGCCTGCAATGCGATGTTGTCTAGCATCTGTTCTTGGGAAGGCGTGGGCGACGGGATTGATATCACCACCGATTTGTCCTCGGCCGAGCCCTCAAAGCCGCTCACCGTTTCAGTGGCCGTGATTTGCATGGTCTCCTGGATCACTTGCGCGGTCATTTTCAGCTCGGGCGCCACTGGCTTTCGCACCGCGATCGGCTTGCGCTGCGCGTTTGCCAGCACAAGCGCGTCGCCCTTTTTAACAAACACCGACACGTTCTTTTTGTCGTCGCCCTCCGAGTCTTCTTCGAAAATCTTCTTCGGCAGGCCGCAATCGTGCGTGGTCGTGACACACGAAGGCTTGTCGATCACCTACGGAAAGATACGAATTAGCGACTATTCAGAATCGAATGGACGAGCGTTAAGGGATCTGCTCTAGGCCTGTGTAACTCAGTGAATTTTTAGGAGTTGACTTGGTGCACCAACCCAACGCACCGGCGCAGTAACTCAGTTCTGTTGCTGCAAAAATGTTGATGACTTTTTTTAGAGATATATATATATCTTTATTTCCTATAGAAAAAGGCTAACGATCCAATCGGTCTTTCTGCCCTTGAGTAGTACATATGTGTCTTAGCCTAGCTTATTCTAAAATTAATTCCTGGCTTACAAAACAAACAGGTCTTAGTTGTTAGTTCAGTTGCGTTTGTAGGTGTTTTAGTAAAGTATCTGTTGGGGTACGAAAACGGGAATGTTTTACCTGTCTTGTTAGGCAAAGGGGATTCAGTATGGTCCAGTTGTGGGGGTTGTTTGTCCATTTTGTCTGTAAGTGTATTAGTCTTTCCGAAATTTTGGTCATGTTTGTGCGTTCGTATAGTAGTTGGTTGGAAGGGTTGTGCAGGGGGTTTTGGGGGTGTCTTATTCGTGTTATTAGTCTTAGTGCAATTTGTTCAGTTGTTTGTACGTATCGTTTTGTCCTTTCTGTTCCGTTGGCCATGAGTATATGTCCGTAGTCCAAGAGGGTATATATTTTTGTCGCGGTATTTGTACTAATTCCTTTGTGATCGAAAGTGTTTTGTTCTTTTTATCGTTTCTGTTCTGATGTTTCGTGTGTGTTTAGTGAACTTGAGTTTGTGGTCGATTGTTATCCCAAGGTACCTTACGTCGTTTTTCGGTTGTGTCGTTTGGCCGTCTGCAGTTATTGTAGGGGAGTCAGCGTTGAGTCTGTGGTTCGTG